CGTGTGTTCCAAACTTTTTTATTTCAGGCTTGGATCCTCCACCACTTTCTGCGCATCGCTGGATGGGCGAGTGTGTCTGAGTACAATAAGGACATGTCGCGTGCTACTGCTTTTATCCCGCTCAGAGAGAACCAGGCGGTCAAGCCTTTCAGAGTCTATCTTGACAGTTTAGTTGCTGAGGACATGCATTTCAACAGTTACGTTGATCACTTCCAAATGCGGAAATTTAACAAGATAGTGATATACTCTGAATAGTTGGCCTGCAGACTGTGTCTCACTGCTCCTCATCTGCCCGAGCGCGTCATGCAGCAATTCGGTTACACTCAGACCATTCTCAAGCACCTTGTTGTCTTTGCTCCTCCCACCTTGACACGTAGACAGATAGAGGAGATGTCTGATGATTAAGAATGTCATCTGGAACTGAAGGAGGTACGGGCTGTAACAACCCAATTTTAATTAATTAATTATTCATATTAATTAATTGAATTATTTGGATGATTTTAATTATTGGAATTATTGGTAGATATTTGAGAGCAGAAATATGATGGAAGGAAATAGAATAGAAAGGCATATAAGAAAAAGGAAATAATAGAAACATAAGAGAAAGAGAAGAGAAAGAAAGAGGAAAAGGAGAAAAGAGAAGGAAAAGAAGGAAAAGCTTGGAAAGCTCAAGAGCAACTTCTAGCTTTCAATTTAATCAAGGTAAGGGTGTGAAATATCATTATCTTGTCAATGTATATGATTATGTATGGATTGTTTGGATGTTTTTCTCCATTTTCCATTTTAGGGCAGAAATGAGTTTAATCGATAGAATCAATGTTTGAACGGTTAGAAGTTGGATTAAATGGTGTAGATATTAGTCAAGAAATGTTAGGCTAAGACTGTTGGAATTCGTTGGAATTGAATCGGTTGATTTTTTTATGATTTGATGTTTTGGACAGTTGGGGTTTTGAACATCGCAGACGTTCACTAGCACCTTCGCTAGGCGAGCAGGTCGCGAGTGTTTGCTGTAGCGAGCTAGTAGCGAATGGTCCCAGACTTGGACAAAATGTAATTGACCCTCTTCGCTGGTAGCGAGCGAGGTAGCGAGGGGTTCGCTAGGCGAAGTCCCAGCGAGTAGGTTGTGAAGCCTTACAGTAGCTTCTGTTTGCCTTCGCGAGCTTGTTCGCTAGGCGAACAGGTAACGAGTGTTGGCTAGGAACTCGCTAGGAGAGCAAGCCAGCGAGCGTGACAACATTCTTATTTCTTTGTGTTTTCCATCCAATTTTGATTGTTTGGTTCAATTGTGTTCCATCCTTATCGAAACTGAATAGTTTGTGTACTATTGTGGGATGTTATGTTGTGGGTAGCCGTATGGCGTGAATCCTAGATTGTGAAATTGAATTGTGAATCGTGGCCTTTTGGCATATATAATGCATTGTTTAAATTGATTAAAAATGCATGATAATCTGTGGTGAAGTTTGTTGCCGTTTGGCACGATGATGTGAATGCATATTGATTGTATGCAATATTATAAATAATGCATGAGAACATATTGTGAATATGTGTGCATTGCTTGATAAATGTGATGATGTTGAAAGTATGAATACTTTGATATGATGTGTGAGTGTGCAATCATGTTATAATTCTTGTGTGATGAATTATTGAGTATGCATGAGATTAAGATGCGAGAACGGTCTTAAGTGCATATGATTGTTGATTGCATACGCATCATTTGTGTCAAGAGGCAATACTTGCTAGTCTCGTGGAGGCTAGTGACTTGTCCCAAACCTAGAGCGGGGTTTGAAAGCTTAGGGAATGGGCTTTTGTTGTTATCGGTCTAGGGAACAGATCCGGTTTAAATGTAAAAACCGAAAAATGATAACAAGTGTTGGTACCATATGGCATGAGTTGCATTGAGTCACATGGCATAGATATCTTTGTTATATGAAAGTATGCTTGTGTATGTTATGTGAATTGATGAGAATTATGGATGTGTGCATGATAAATATGCTTGGTGATCATTCCATATTTGTTTATATATACATATATTGTGATGTATATGATGATGATAATGAACTGTGGTGAGAAATGCGGAATATGTGTATTCTATACTTATATATATATATATATATATATATATATATATATATATATATATATATATATATATATATATATATATATATATATATATATATATATATATATATATATATATATATATATATATATATATATATATATATATATATATATATATATATATATATATATATATATATATATATATATATATATATATATATATATATATATATATATATATATATATATATATATATATATATATATATATATATATATATATATATATATATATATATATATATATATATATATATATATATATATATATATATATATATATATATATATATATATATATATATATATATATATATATATATATATATATATATATATATATATATATATATATATATATATATATATATATATATATATATATATATATATATATATATATATATATATATATATATATGCATTGATTATTATGATAATATTTCTCACCCTTCTGCTGTTTTATAATGCTCTATGAGACATTGCAAATTAGGTTTGCTGGAGGTCTTTTGTGAAGTATAGCTTCATTCTTTTGGTCGGTTAAGCTCTGATATGTAGCACCGGGTAGTTAGGATTGTATAGCATTCTTTTGTGATACATTTGTATATGTATCTACTGACAAATGTTTATGTAAACATGAATGGTGTGGTGAATCAAACTGGATGATATGTATTTATATGATTACATGTTTAAATGATTCAATGTTTAGATTTTCCGCTTTTAATTCTAAATATTGAGATGTGGGTGTAAGGACTAAGTCCCTCTGTTGAAGCTACCCCACTGTTGCATGTCTTTTATAGAGCAGGTGTTGTATGTTGCAATGTTGTGTATAATGTGACATGCCTCTTTTATACCATGTTTTAGTTTTACTCTGGTGAAAATTTAATATGTGCTTAAATGATTTATTGTTTATTTGGGGGTATAGAAGGGGGTGTTACACGGGCTACCATATCTCCGAGCGACTGGAGCTACGTTGAAGGGTACATCAGATGATTCTTCAGGGTATCACATCCGTACATGGTGTATGTTGCTCCAGGAGATCCACCGAGACCAACTCATCAGAAGATACTAGAGGAGGAACAAACTCAACTAGATCATATTGATGTTGGTTTGCATAGGTGTCGCCGCATTGTGGAGATTACACAGGCAAGCATTGACGAGGGTATATTCTCTGAAGGGTTTGGTGTCAGGTGAGTCCTACATGCTATTATGGCAGAGGTACATGGGGTATTGTTGTACTGGAGACATCGCCGAAGGACGGAGGGTTGATGGCTGAGGAGGTATAGCGGGCAGAGGAGGTAGAGAAGATATTGTTAGACACACATAATAGTAATCTCTTATTATTTTGTCGTAGTACTATACTCTATACTTTATTTTGACGATCTTACTTTATTTTGAATCTCGATTGTACGACATTTTCTACATATATTGCTATTTTATTTTCGACACACAAAGTAGTAGTCTCTTATTATTTAATACGTTTATTTTTTATTTGCGATCATATGTTATACTTCATCTGAACACATATAAGATGCATATCCAAAATATTACTGGAGATGCATCTCCGATACATTTCAAATACAAATGGCTTATGAGTAGGTTGTATTGAATGCTTAAAATTGTTTCAGAAATACATCTCTAAAATATTTCAACATTTATTTAAAAATAGATGCGTCCGAAAATAAATCTCCAAAATCTAAAAACATTTAAATAACTTCACATGATGACTAAGAATTATCTATGGTGCATTAAAAAATTCTCTAATTTTATTGATCAAATGTTTTGTTCTAAATACGTTTTATTACATGCAGCTTTGGTAGTGAACTTGAGGGGCAGATGAGCTAAAGGTCTTGAAGTGATTATTGATTGTTTCATTAGCCATTGTCTCTTTCTCTCTCACACCCCCACCCTCCGGCAACATATGAAAATGATATAAAACATTTTCTAGATACCTATTCAGTTTGTGCCTATTATTACTTATTTGGTTCATGTTGATACATCATTTCACCAATCAAATATTTTCAAATGGTTGCTAGCAAAACAAAGGTATAGTTGAGAAATGATAGGGGGTGCATATAATTGGGATAGGGAGAATTGACAATAAATAGTCAAAATATTATTGAGCGATTAACTACACATTTATCTTCCCATTGTAATGACAATGTGCTGAGAAGAAATAGCATTATCAAAAAGAATGATAAAAAGAATTATCTACATACATCAGAATCTCAAAGTGAAATATGAAATTTATTATATACAGCCAAAGCAAATAAAAAGATAGAATATGAAATTGTGAGTAATGATATTGTATATCATGTAATATAGCATTAAAAGGTAGGCTGCTGCTTTCTAAACCACCAGCACAATTCAGCTCTTCAGCAGGATCCTGTAAACCAAACACAAAATCAACAATATATACACTATAAAGCTTACTCGTCAATTGAAGGTATGTGTAGTACATTTTTACCACAAACTTGATGCAAAATGGGGGTGCTTTTTAGTAGAACTTTAGCATATCAGTAAGGGACTTTCATTGTTAGTAGGGGTACTTATTTGGAAAATTTTCATTCTTGACATCTTGGAAAGTTATTTATTGCTTGGCTTAGGAATATCACTACACTGGGTTTTGTTTGCGAGTTAAGCTAGGTAAAACATGAATTGCTCAATTTATTTGCACATCTATTGCAAACTATGCTCATAAATGATTCTGATTTTGAAATTATGAGTACCGCATCAAACAAAAATAGAAAATGCTGCACTTAAAAAAATTCAAATTAAAACGCACCTGAATAAACTGTAATCCAAGTATAATATTGTTCAATATTGCTACTTATCATTCGTATAGTGGTAGATGTTAATCTGCAGGAACTAATTCACACTTTAGCATCGGCAATTATTTGCAGCAAACATTTCATAATGTAGGAGAAACAAGGCCGCCTCCTTGGATCCCTACAGCGAGAAACTATTATTTCAGATTCAACCATATGGCAAGGTATTACCAAAAATGCAGACAACAAATTATAAATTAGTTGGCCAATGGCTGACTTAAGTGGTAGGAGCACACTGCATTAACTAGTTGGTGGAATTTTAATGTAAGGTGAGACGGGCACAGCAAAGCTTAAAACTTCTACTAAAAAACAAGATAATTAAATTAATTATTTAATTTACTTACACAGACCAACAGAGCTCAATCAAGGCAGCCACTTGAGGATTCACATGCCTCGGAATATCTAGCCTTTTGTCCATAAAACCAACAGCTGCAACAACCTACACTAATAAAGAGAGCTTTCTCCAAAATCAGAGTTCAAAGAGACGAACAACATCTTTTCTTTTCTTCTGTGTGGTATTTGAGATTAGCTTACAATCCAAAGTGTCATGACAAGGAAAATAACCTGCGAAGGATTTAACTGCCTCCATGGTTGTTGAAGGGTCACCAGTTCCCACAAGATTACACCAAAACTGAATACATCACATTTTTCATTTGACGGTTCACCTCGGATGACTTCTGGTGCCATCCATTCAGGCTGATTTAGAATGTGAATCCATCAGAATTATTTTGAATAAGAAAATAAAATTTTAAAAAGTTTTTCAGTTGAGGAGTAGATCTTACAGTTCCAGCAGCTGTTTTAGATGAAAGATATGTATTTGCCTTTGTACGTGAAAGGCCAAAGTCACATACCTGAGTAAATATCATAAACAAATGAATGTTAATACACCATAATTTATAGATCCATATATCCAATAAATGTATGTGTTGAAATAAGAGAGACTAAAAGACATTTAAATTAAACTGTGTTTTGAGTTTTGAAAAGTACTACAGAGACATTATTATATATAGATAGATTACAACTTATTACATGATATAGTAGATGTGGGACTATTCTATATACAAATATTCTTAACACTATATATATTTACAAATATCAACACTTCCCCTCAAGCTTGAGCATATAAGTCAAATGCACCAAACTTGTTACATATATAGTTAGCTCTGGGACTTCGTAGGGATTTTGTAAACATATCTGCCAATTGATCATTAGAGTTGACAAAGCTTGTAATGATGTCACCTGACTCGATCTTCTCTCTGACAAAGTGACAGTCTATCTCAATATATTTGGTCCTCTCATAGAAAACTAGATTTGAAGCAATGTTAAAAAGAAGAGAATCAAAACATTTCTTCGGACTCTTTTTCCAATTTGAGAAACGTTGATTGATCATGTGTTTCCTTAGAGGTATATGATTATGAATATCATTTTCATACCTTTGAATTACATATTCTAAGTTGTGATTGAATCGATTACCTTGAAAAGAATTCCCACAAGAGGTCTGGACCCATTTTTTTATGATCTTTGGATAAAAAGATTCATTCTCTTCGTAAAAAATCCGAGGCAGAACCAATAAAGATTTCTTTTTTGATTCATCCCTGGAGTTGAATACTTGATTTACAAATTGTTTATCATCAATTTTCGACAAGTGTCATTGGTCTTCCTTCTTCAATTTGAAGTTCTTTGAGCAACTGTTTTAACCAAATAAGTTCACATGTTGATATTGCCATGGCCCTATACTCTGCCTTGGCGCTTGATCTTGCAACTACATTTTGTTTCTTACTTTTCCAGGATATAAGGTTTCTTCCAACAAGTACACAATACCCAGAGGTGGATCACCTATCAATGGGTGACCCTGCCTAATCAGCATCGGAGTATCCAACTATCTGGGTATATCCTTTATTCTCATACACAAATCTTTTCCTAGAAGACATTTGATGTATCTCAGAATCCGAATAACAGCAACCATGTGTTCTTGACAAGGGGAATTTAAGAACTGCCTTACCACACTGACTGCAAAAGAAATGTCCGGACGAGTGACTGTGAGATAATTCAACTTTCCAACCAATCCCCTATACCTTCCTGAGTCAGATAAAGGCTCCCCCTGATTGGGTAGTAGTTTAACACTTGGATCCACAGGAGTATCGGCTGGTTTAACATTTAACAAACTTGTTTCTTTCAAAATATCCATAGCATATTTCCGTTGAGAAATCACCAAACCATCTTTAGATTGGGCTACTTCAATACCCAAGAAATAGCAGAGTTTACCAAGATATTTTGTCTGAAATTGTTTCGACAGATGTTGTTTCAACTGGAGTATTCCCTACTGATCACTACCAGTTATGACAATGTCATCTACATACACAATAAGATAAATACACCCTTGGGGTGAGTAACGATAAAAAACAAAATGGTCAGCTTCACTACGGATCATACCAAACTGTTGTACTACAGTGCTGAATCTGCCAAACGAAACTCTCGAAGATTGCTTAAAAGACCATAGAGATCTGTGTAGCCTACAAACCATATTTGATGACTCTCTCTGAGCAACAAACTCAGGTGGTTGCTCCATATATACTTCCTCTTCAAGATCACCATGTAAGAATGCATTTTTGATGTCAAGTTGATGAAGAGATCAATGTCGAATGGCTGCAATGGCTAGAAGAAGGCTAACAGATGCCATCTTGACTACAGGCGAAAAGGTATCACTATAATCCAACCCAAAAATGTATCCTTTAGCTACCAAGTGAGCTTTAAATTGATCAATTTTACCATCTGGACCAACCCTAACTGTATAAAGCCAACGACAACCTACTAAAGATTTCTCATGGGGTAGAGGAACCAGGTTCTAGGTACCAGTGCTTTGAAGAGCACTTATTTCATCAATCATTGATTGCCTCCACTTGGGGTGAGATAATGTTTCACTTGGAGTTTTAGGAATAGAAACAGAAGACAAAGAAGACAAACAAGTATACTGCAAAGGGGAAAGATGATAATAACATAAATCAATATAATGTGGAGAAGGATTTCGTGTTTGACGTATACCTTTTTGAAGGGAAATCAGAAGATCAGACTCAGGTTGCAGGATCGGATCCGGTGATGGCGAGAGCGTCAGAGAAGAGTCTGTAGTGACCTCAGGGATAGGTACGACTTCAGGGACAGGTCCGACTTCAGGAATAGATAAGACTTCAGGGACAGGTAAGACAGACGTTGGGTGACGACGCTGATATGTTTGAAGTGGGCGAGGAGTGGGGGAGTCAACCATAAGGGTATCTAGTGGGTCCAGTTCCCTAGAATGATGGGGATAATGACAGATGGGACTTTCGGAAGAGGTGTGGGAATACTTTCCTATAGAGGTTCCGTAGTTACTTGGCTAGACTCGAAATATGGGACAGACTCGAAGAAGGTAACATCGGCGGGTACGAGGTATCGTTGTAGAGTATGTGAGTAGCAACGGTAACCCTTTTGAGATCGATGATAGCCAAAAAAGAACACTTTAGTGATCGAGCTGATAGTTTATCAAGACCAGGGAGAGATTGTGTACAAAACACGTAGACCCGAATACTCGAGGAGGAATTGGGTGGAGTGGAGAGTTTGAAAACTTGATTGAATGAGGGATTTTATTATTAAAGACAGATGAGGGCATGTGATTTATGAGGTAACATGCCGTGAGCACCACATCTCCCCGAAACCGGAGAGGAACATTACCATGGAAAAGTAGGGTCCGAGTGGTTTCTACGAGGTGCCGATTTTTGCGTTTGGCTACCCCGTTTTGTTGGGGTGTATGAGGGCAAGATGTTTGGTGCAAAATACAATTGGATGACATAAATGTTTGAAATTGTTGGGATAAATATTCATGTGCATTGTCATTTCTTAAGGTATGAATAGACAAACCAAATTGGGTTCTTATTTCTCGATAAAATTGTTCAAAAATGGAAAACAATTCAGACATGTTCTTCATTAAAAATAGCCATGTGCAACATGAAAAATCATCAATAAAAGTTACAAAATACCTAGACTCAAAAGTAGACACGGTACGTGAGGGACCCCAAACATCGGAGTGAACTAAAGCAAAAAGAGACGATCGGAAAAGTGACTACGAGTATGTTTTCCTAACTGACAAGACTCACAGTGTAAAGTGTATAATTTAAATAAACTAGGCAACAACTTTTGTAGCTTGGGAAGACCTAGATGACCTAATTGTGCATGTATAATGAGTGGAGAATTTGTGGTGGAGCATGTGGTAAATGACATAGAGAAGTAGTAGAGGCTTTGAGACTCACATCCGACGCCAATCGTCTGTCCCGAACTCTGATCCTACAGAGTAACATTACTATTAGTAAAAGTGATAGAACAATTAAGGGAACGAGTTAAACGACTAACTGACAGTAAACTAAATGGGTGGACAATTAGGTACATATAGGACAGAAGTAATAGAAAGTGATGGTAAAATTTGAACAGTACCAATCCCTTGGGATCAGGTTTGAGAACCATTTGCGGTAGTTATAATGGGTAAGAAACCAGAGGTAAAGAGGGAAGAAAAAAGACCTTTATTACCAGTAACATGATCAGACGCACCAGAATCGAAGACCTAAGGACCAAGAGGAGATGATTGAGAAAAGAAAACAGATGAATTACTAGTGTGTGCAACCAAAGCAGTGGAACAGAGATCTGATTAGTCTGACACCACTTGAGAAGATCCTCGTAGTTTGGCGTAGGATTCTGAATAGAAGGTGAAGTCTGCATAGTGTCTGGGTTATCACTTTGAGCTGCATTTACTTGGCGTGGGGGTTTGCCATGTAGCTTCCAACAACTGTCGATAGCATGTCCAAGCCGGTTATAATGGTCACACTTGGGACGAGGTTTGGAGTTGGATGACCCTCCTAGAGGGCAATTCCGATTGTTGCCAAGAGATACGAGGGCAGGGCAGCAGTGTCACCTGGTGTTGGAGCAACAGTAGATAGAGGGGAAACCGGACCAAACGCATGAGGTGTAGCCAAGCGCAACAGTTGTTCACTAACTGCATCATAGTTAGGAATAGTAATACCTTATAAAATCTGTTGTTTGGCATGAGTTGTTGCATCTTTTGCGTATGGCACGAGGGTTGCGTAACTTGCTTTCAAGGCATCAAGCTTACTCAGATAGGTTTGCATATCCATATTTTCCATCTTCGGTATGTCTACTTTGAGGATGACACTGTATAGACAATGAATGTCGTTGGAGAAGACTTTCTTGGCCTTTTCCCAAACCTATAGCAAGTGGAGAAGGCTTGATATAGCGCTTGGAGGTTAGGTGCTATGGAGAACCATAACACGGTAAGCAGAGAGGCATCAGTTTTCTTCCATTTAGCGAGTTTGGCAGCGACAACATTACTCAATTGTGTGGTTAGGTGATCTTCATATCCTTGACCATGAAACCACATATCGACAGCACGAGCCCATATGTTATAGTTTGCTAATCCGGTTAGTTTTTCACATGAGATAAGCGGAACTTAAGTAAACGAGACAGAACTAGCGTCTCCCATGGCTTAATGACACAAAAAACGGAGTGAAATCGGGGTTGTTTGCACTGGAGCACCATTTTCCGTGAGTCGGGAAGTAAAAATAGGCCGGATCTGAAATGGGTGGGGATAAGCGAGTAGACCGGCGGAAAAACAGCCAGAAACAGCGGGCAGAAAAAAGGGCGACGACCGGATCGGAGGACGGCGAGTTGGATGGTGAGGTCGGTTCCAGAAATTTTGAAAAGTGAAAGGCAAACCGGAGCGACAACACAGTTTGCCAAAAAAAGAAATCTCACCGAAAGACTAAGTACAACGAAGAAAGAGAATTGCCTCTTAATAGGCTCTAGATATCGTGTTGAAATAAGAGAGACTAAGAGACATTTAAATTAAACTGTGTGTTTTGAAAAGTACTATGGAGACATTATTATATATAGATAGATTACAATTAATTACATGATATAGTCGGTGTGGGACTATTTTATATACAAATATTCTTAACACTATATATATTTACAAATATCATCAGTATAGAAGGAGATTGTACAAGGAATAGCTCTCCTAGGCAAAAGCTTTTTGTTTGTATCAGTTCAGGTTTTAGAGGTGAGGATTGGAGTCTAACTCAATCCGAAAAAAACTAGCTCTAAAGGTTGTTCGAGTCTTATAAAGTCTACTTCAGCAATATCTCTAGTCAACATGGAATCTCAGCAGTTCAATTCCACTAATTCTAAACGTAAACACCAGAACTCATACAACCTCACCAAATCATGTTTTTGGACAAGGCCACGATTGCTGTGTGGCAAAAGTCAGAATCAAGAAATCTCAGGATTATGATAACAATTTTAACTATTATGTATTGAGAGACTAAGAAACAAAAGGATATGGGGGGCACATGGATATACATGTTGAGATCTCAGTTATTTCACCTGCAATAGTCTACACTTTAGATATCAAGTCCTTGGTGTGATCTTCTCCGTATTCGATTCAGTTAGAGGAAGAACCAAGATGTACAGGATAAGAAAGGTTTTATACAAATTGAAGCAGTCTCCTCATGCCTAGATTGGAAGATTCGTGAAGAAAATGATGTTCCTAGGATACAGTTAAAGTGAAGGTATACTCTCTACTTTTAACTTCCATTCCATGAGGTAAACTCATTTTACCACATGTGTATATTGATAGCATCATTACATCAAGCACCGACTAAGACACAAATCATAAAGGAGAAATTAGTAGCAAAGTTGGCATTGAGGGATCTTGGAAAGCTAATTTCATTTGTGTTTTAACTTTTAATTACAAAAAAAAAATGTCACTTTGTTACTTTTTTAAAGATTTGCACCTGAAATATTAACCCTTCGTCCCTAATTATAAGACCCACTTTCTATAAATAGTCTTTTTTTTATAAAACCCTTTACAAACTTTCATGAGTAATAATGACTTCCTAAAAATACTCCTATTATATTTACAACTGGGAAACACAATTGTTTTCTCTTACTTATTATATCCTTAATTGTAGGAGTAGTTATGTAAAATTCACACAATTTTCTTACAAATTTATTATAATAATACATGTCGAATTTTTAGGGGGGTTTATAATAAGGGGGCAGAGGGAGTAGTTGCTTTCATGGTTTCTTACACAAATTTTGAAAATCAAAATAAAATGAAAACAATGTGATATTTTTTTGGCTTAAATGCAATTTTAGTTCATGTAAGTTAGCAAGTTTTTTATTTTGGTCTCTGTAATTTTTTTTGTCTTGAGTCCCTATATCTCACTTTTTGCGTGCGTTTTAGTCCCTAAAGTCAAATTCCGAAGGAAAATCTCAAGAAACCTATGGATTTCTCTGTGGATTTTGGCTTTAGGAACTAAACTGTACGCAAAAAAGTGAGATATAGGGACTCAAACCAAAAAAAAATACAGGGATTAAAATCAAAAACTCGTTAACTTACCGAAATCAACGGACTATTTAAGCCTATTTATTTAATTAAAAGTCAAATCAGTAAATGAGAACATAACCCAAACAGGCCCTAAAATACTTCCTTGGAATTAATGTATCCTTCAAAGCAAGGTATCTACACTTATCAAAGGAAACATGTCCTTTGCCAGCTATTTGTGAGACTTTTCCAGAGGTACTAGACTACTTAGAAGAAGCCTGTGATTGGCAATTCAGCTCCTTTTCTTGAGGAAAGTATGTGTAATTCTCCCATTTAAGAAGTTCACTCTCTATTGAAATAAATACAATTCTATTTCCCTATTAATTTCGAAAGTCTTGAAGCTTCTCAAGGAGATGGAAAAGTTTGGGTGCAAGGCTATACAGGTGTACCCATTAAGTAAACTCTTTGCATGCCATTTCATGGATCACCCAAAGTAAGGCCATTGCAGGCCTAGATCAAGTTCCACAATATTTTTAAAACCATGTTTCGAAGAGGACTACAATTAGGAAGGGCGGAGATCTATCCATGGAATTGAACCCAAATACTCATTTTGTAGGCTCAAATATTCATAGGAAGTAAACATCATGTTGCTGTATGTTTTCTAGGTGGAAATTCGGTCATTGAGGAGCAAGAAATAGAGAATGTAATTGCTGAATTGAGTTCAAAGACTTAGTTTTAGGACAAATTATTTCTGTGTACAATTATTTCCCTCGTTTCCTTTTATAAAGACAATTTTGCTTCCTGGAATCTAGCTCTATTGTAGGCAAGTAGTTATTAGCATAATAAATAGGCATAAATCTACATAAGTGTAAATGACCTCTTTACAATGAGTTTAATTTAATAATATTTAGAAAATGGACACATAAGATTATCCAACATTTTTTATTTTATATTAGTTACCTTAACAGTGTATGAATCATCAACCAAAAGATTTGGAGACTTCAAATCTCTATGAACAATAGGAGGTTTCATTTGATGAAGATAATTCATTCCACTTGCCTAGACAAACATATCAAATCTCAAAAAGTCTCAGTGAAAGTGGTATTTTCTGTCTGATGACAAAAATAGTCATGGAAATCGTAAGACTAGCAGTAGTGATCAATGAAGACATACCACGTCATATGCCATACTTATACGACGCTTCTCACTGATTGAGGATCCAACACTTGGCATCTGCAGAAGTTCATACAAACTTCCTCTGCAATTCAAGGAGATTATTTGCTTAAGAAAAAAACATTAAGCCTAAAATCACTTCCAACCACAAAAAGGGATGATTGTGTCGGGAAATTATTGCACCTTGATAAATATTCTGTTACAATTGATAACTTTGGTGGTTGGATTACGGCACCCATTAGAAGTACAATGTTTGGATGACGCAGGCGCTTCATGAGTGTGACCTATGAAATAAACTGGGATACTGAAGTAAAATCAACTGGGACAAAAAAAAAGAATATGGAAAATATAAAACGAAACCATTCCCTGGACTTAATCAAAAAAACTAAGAAATAATTTGAATAAAAATCATATGAATACCTCCTTTAGAAACTCTTCAAATCGTTCAGAATCAAAACCTTGTACCTTAAGTATCTTCACAGCAACGTCCTGAATGGAAACACAGTTAGTATTGGGTTATCGTACTGTACCCTACATAACCCCAGCTAATGCAGAAAGGTCAGCATAAAAACATTTAAAATAGAATAATAGTTGTCACAATGGTGACTTGTCCTTTCTTTGCTTTTGGAGTCAACAGTTCAAGAGCGAATAGCCCTCTGCTTTCTTTGCTTTTGTTTTCTTCATCTACATGATCATCTTGGACATCGTCCCAAAATACCTTGAAGTTGTATCCCATTTTGGAGACCTCTTTTGTTTAAAATAGTGCTTCTTTTTAGTTTTCTAAACAGTAAACACCAAGAAACTTAACCACCTAGAGTCAATAAATGGGTTTGCATCTCATTTTTTTACTTGTTCACTTGTATACAGTTGATGATTACTCTCATGCTACATTTCTTTGCACATTCATGCAAAAGTATCAGCATCATTCATGCAAAAGTATCAGCATCATTCATGAAACCCCTTGTATCATCACTTCTCAACAAAATATGGAAACTGAAAGATAAATCAGACACTTACTTCACGTTGCCCAGGCTCTTTTGTCTCAAAAGAAAGTCTCCAAAACTTTTCAATTGCAGTTTCTACAGCATGTTAATAAATTGATTGTTTTTCTTCTTTTGTTATAGATGGTCAAATCCCATACTTTATCCTCTTTCCATCTCACGGACATGCTTCTATTAAGGGCTTCTCGGTGTTCATTGTGTTGAGATCTCATGGGAGAACCACTTATAGCCACCGTGTTCTTGTTGAAAGTGGCCCAAATTATCAGTGAAGTAAGAAGACAAAGTGTTGTTACTTGATCTAGTCTAAAAATATCAAGCAATGGGCAAGGTAACATTTGAATTGGTGCAGATAGTGGCAAATCTATTTATAGATGAATGGGAGCAAATGCCCCCACAACAAAATTTGATCATTATCTAGACTAAATTACACTCCTCTCTTCTAGAGATACTTAAATTACACTACCCTCTGAGGGTAAAATATGCACTCCCCTCCCCTCTGAGGTTAAAATATACACTCCCCTCCCTTCTTATACAAAGTATGAAAGAGAAGACTATATTCCTTACCTGAAAGATGATTTACATTTCATTGTCACTTACAAAATTTAAGGTAGTATTAAATGCACTTTTGTCAAAATTACCCCTAAATAATTATTACAGAGAGAGAAAAAAGTAAAATGAATATAGTAAATAATTAAGGGTATTATAGGTAAAAGAAAAATTATTGCATGAAAAGTAACAATATTGATTAGTTTTCTTGGTGTGTGTGAAAAAATCAAAAAGTGATACTTAAAAGGGAACGGAGGGAGTATAATCAAACTTCTAATACATTTTTTCCCTATTTTTTATTCACAGTATCATTAACATAGAGTTTTAAACACTATTTGAATTTATGAAGCAATACAAGATAAAATAAAAATCTTGGACAAATTATTAAAAAAGAAATGTTATTTAAAATTGAATTTTATATTCTCAGTTCATAAAATTAATAATAAAATGGTCAAAGTTAATCAAGTGACATTAGAAGTTATAAAAAATGGAAATTGATTTCTTAAATGGTGGCTAAAAAAGTTTTATGACAGAAAATGGCGATTTAGAATTAGTTGTTATCATAAAGAATATGTATTCGTGTTAAAATTGATTAGAGTGTAATACAGATTTAACTCTCAAGGGGGCAGAGGGAAATTGATTTCTTAAATGGTGGTTAAAAGTTCTTTTGGATAGAAAATGATGGTTTGGAATTAGTTTTTATAAATTCATGTTAAAATTATTAGAGTGTAAGTAATACATACTTAACTCTCAGGGAGCAGAGTGTAATTCAAGCATCTCTTAGGAGAGGATAGTATAATTTACTCTATATATTTACTTCTTAAGGAGGAAATTTTGTACTTTAACATAAGCTGGAAGGGATATGTAAACTTCTCTAAGGGGAGGACGTGAAATTTACTCCATTAATTGTTATATAAGTTGGATTCATTCATCCTATATTGTATTTTTTGTCTTTCAGTATAAATAAATATGGAGATAGGAAGACTAAAAACACTCGGTTAGCTATTCACATTCTTCAATTTTTAGAAAAATAATGAATGGCAGCAACATCATGCATGCTGATATGCATAGACTTGAAGAAACAAATACTTACAGAGCCACGCCAGTCCGCACGAAGAACAGTTCCAAATGACCCTGAAATACAGTCATTGTTGCTCTTACTATACTGATTCATATTAGATTTTCTCTAAGACATAAAGACAGCTTGGGTAGAATCAAAAAATTTTTACTCAATATTTTGCACAAAATTTCAAATACAATACCTGTCCCAATGTTCTCTTTCAAAATAAGTTCACTCCACGGAATGTCCAGATCCTCCTCCTCAAGGTCAACTTCATGACTTGAATAATTCACTCCTGACTGGTTTGCTTCATTGAAAGACAAATGTTCCTCTGTGCCGGGACCTACATGAGATGGCATATCAATTTAGGATAATCCAGTGCCATTATCACAGAAAACAGAGAATACAGGGCATTTGAATTTATTTATTAAAACACAGATTAGGCATATTAAATATCAGTAGGTATAATCTGTTAAATGAGAAGGATATTGCTCATTCTTTCTCCTCCTTTTATTGACAGAAAAGACAGCTCATTCTTACTCCAAGCGACTATATGGTGGTTGCCCCCAGCATAGTTTGTACCAAACATTTCAGTTTGCTGTAGATCCATTTCGCCACTACAATCAACAGTACCACCTGTCATGATGAAAATCAGCAATTTTAGAAGTGTATAACTATGGGGACAGATTCCATGTTAAACTTTAGATATTTCTCATTAACCTTCGTATATTCAAAATTTTATTTTCTTCCAATAATAATAATGATCATTAACCTTTGTATATTCAAAATTTTATTTTCTTCCAAAAATAATAATGACATATTAAGGATTACGTTGCATGAATAATATCACGCAAGGCATTAAATTGATATGGCAGAAGCAACGAAAATATAGAATAACAGAGAATATCAAGCAATGGAATAACAATACCAAAAAGACCAAAACAATATCCAAAGATTACACTAAAAAAAGTTTGTAGGAAAGCACAAAGCAAACCCAGTCCACGGAAAAATTACAGAAAATGAAGCCAAAACAATATCCACAAGACTCTACTGGGAAATTTACTCAAGAAAACACCTAAAATGAAAGGGATGAACTAATAATAAAACACAAAACAGCACTCCTTCTGTCTTCAATAAAATAGAATCTATTTAAATAACAAAACCGAATCTGTTACATTGACAGATAAAAAATAACTCAAGTAAGGGTGTGCAAAAAAAACAGTTATTGTTAACCAAATTTGTATCCAAATTGTTCCACTTTTAAAAATACAAACCAAATGCTAAAATATAAATTTAGTTATCCATTTTGTTATCCAAATATAAACCGGTTTCTATGTGGTTTATCTATTGATTATCCAAATTTCATTATTTGTTAAATTAATATGTTTTTGTCTCTTTTCATGTTTTATCATATATACGTTATAAACTAATTTTATATTTTAAACCAAAAGATTCAAAATTTTGTATTTCAAAATGAAAAAAAAAAAAATTGTTTACAAATTCTCTAACTACCTGCAATGGTGTACTAATACTTCAAAAACTATATGGACTTTTATCGGTTAATTATATGAACTTTCAGTAATTAATTATATAGATCTTAGTGCATCGAATTTGATTTAGCATGTGCAAGAAAATATACCAAAACTTGACTTGTTGGATTTGACTCTAGTTTTCATTTATAAATGTCGAAGTTCATTAAAGCTTTATGAAAAAATAATTATAAATATTATAGATTTCTCCACCAATAGATAGAGGTTTTGAAATATACAAATATATGTATTATAAATATTAGTTATCATTTTAAGTCCATATAATTTGCTGAAATTTTTTATTTTAGAATTTTTTATTTTCAATTTTATTTTTAATTTTTTAAATATTTTTTATTTTTAGATTCTTTTTAAAAAAATTGTATATTTATTTTCAAAGAAAAAATATATTAAAATCTAAATATTTAAATTTAAAAATTGATATAATTTAAAAATAAATAAATTTAAATTTAACTAAATAATTTGGGTTAAAATCAAAATCCATTTAGAACTGGTTTTAAACAGGTATAGAACAAATGGTTTGATTTATAAACCATAACCATACAAATGGTTTGGTTTATAAACCATACCCATAAAAATGGATTGGTTCTATTATTGATTAAGTTTTCCTCTTTATTATCCTTAGATTTATACTTTTTAATTGGAAGATATTGTTGTTACCCTTAGTTTTCTACTTATTAATTGGAAGACAATGTTGTTATGTTGTGACAGTAAAATTTTCATTCAACTGGTGTGAAGAGGATGGGAGATGGATATGGCATTCATATCACATGTACAACTTGGACCAGATGAAGCATCAGGGTTGAAAATGTCTCTTGCAGTGTCACTGCTCTCAGCATAGGTGTTGCGATAATTGGGTGGATTTAGGAATCCTAGACTAGCATATTAATTTTAATGATGGTTGTTTTATTACTTTGACTGTATTCATGTTTAATTCTCTATGGGTTTTCCATATATGTACTAATCAATTTTTCGGTAATGCCAAATACTCGTGCTTGAAAATTTGCATTTCTTAATAAAAAGTATAGAATTAAAATGTTTTAGGTGGTTTATCAATTATTTAATAATTTGTAATAAAATTGATTTTTTTTTAAATTGATTTTAAAACTGATTTTTTTTTATAAAATTGGTTTTAAAACTGATTTCTTTAAAGAAAATAAAAAACTGGTTTTGAGAAAAACCGGTTTAAAATTGGTTTTTAAAAAAACTATTTTTTTTTAAAAACCGGTTTGAAACTGAACCAATTCACTTGTAAACCGATTTTAAAAAATTAAACCGGTTTTAAGATCCAAACCAAACCATATATGTAGTTTGGTTTGGTTTATAATCCATGCACACCCCTAAGCTAAGTACAACTTTTTTTGGATTAGTAACTTAAGTACAACTAATACAAGTCAAACTCAATAACACTTAACATTATAATACTACCTTTGCTCCCAATTATAAGAAATTATAAGAATAAAAATCAAAACTAATCAACTTATTTATTCTTGTAGCTTTTTTATATTGTTTTTCCAAATACACCCTCATGGAAAAATGTGAAACATCCACTAGTATTAATAAGACTAATATTTTAAATGACAGTACAAAAGTCATTTAGGTAATAAATTCAATCTTTGGTCACTAATATAAGCTAGTATACCTACTTTCACGGTGATTAAAAATATACAGTTAAGTGCAATTAATTTTCTAAATTTTTTGTAAAACACAAGACAAACTTACTAAATTGTCCTTGTTTATCACCTATTTCTATTAAATGTATTTTAATTAAAAGAAGGGTATAGTGGGAATAATAGCATTAAATAAGTCAAAAGTAGTTACTTTTGTTTACAAGTGATCAAAATTTGAATTTTTTTTCTCATAATTGTGGCTAGAAGTGCCTTATAAAAGTTGTAATTTTTTCTTATAAATGAAACCCAAAAAAATCTCTGATAATTAAGACTAGAGGTTGCAAATAACAGAGTAATATCCAAATAATGTAATGTAACATATGATTTGGCACTTTTGTGCCTTTCGGTAACATTTAAACATTTCATTAAAAACCAAATATTTACTGCAGCAGTCAATATTTGAAAGTTCAAAGATATAATTAAAAAAGCCCAGCTGACGAAAAAAAGAGAGGAAAAAAAGAGAGATAGTTATTTTCAGTAAAAAGTCAAATAAAAGGTTTACCTCGCTTTTCTCAGTACTCTAAGTCCACCCAACAATTAGTTTATTTAAAAAAAAAACACCCAGAAAGGCAAAAGAAACAACCTGATGTGGTATCAAATGCAAGATGCAGTGCTTGATTGTCCAGGAAATACAATTGGGCCATTGCCTTTGTATAATCAGCTGTTTCAACTGGCTTGAACCTTGGATGACATAATGGTGAAGGGATCAACATCGAAGATGCAGAATTCACTGAAGAATCAGGTTGGTATGTTTCCCCAGGCCTTCCTACTAAATCAATCATACACTCCCTGAAAAGATGTACACCGGATTCTATAAGACCTCTAAATAAGGATTATTATATGTTTGGGAAACCTCACAGTACTTAAAGAAATTGATTTAGGAAATTTGTACTATCTTTCTTATTATATGATTAGGAAAATTTCTTTAGTTCTAGAGATACGCAAATGCAGCAATTCTGAGAAGTTTATTGAACAAGACAGGATGTATGATTCTCTGGTTGGTTTGAACTCTGAATCTGACCAAGTCAAAATTCAAATCTTAGGGAAACAAAAAGTTTCCAACTTTAATGAAGTTATATCTATTGTGAGAAGCGAAGAGAGCAGAAGTCTGATGTTACACACTCCTTATTTGAGAACTCAGCCATGCTAACAGACCTTAACAAAGGAAAAGGGGCAGCCAAGAGTGTTGATAGAAGGATTGGAGAATATACAAATATGGAGAAGAAAGGTGATGAAATCTGGTGTACCTTTTGTAACAAGTCCCGTCATACTAGAGAGAAATGCTGGAAACTACATGGAAACCTTAAAATCGAGATAGCGAATGGGGACCAAAAAGGAGGACAGATTCATGTTGCTGCTGTTGGCACAGGTGAAGGGAATAAATTTGCTGAACTTGCACATTTCAATCAGGAGGAAATTGAAAAAATGAAGAATTTTTTGAGCAAATTGGAAAATTGATTTTTGAGGAAAATTGATTTTCAAATTGATTTTTCTTAGAGTATGGAACAAAAATCAATTTTATTTTAAAATTTATAAAACTTAATAGATTTTGCTGACTAATTGTTTGGGGTGTGCAAGTAAAAGAGAGACATAGATACCAAGGCTTTGTTTTAAAGAAGTTTCATTGTAAGGCATGAAAATTAAACCATTTTGCTTCCTGAACATATTAGATTTGTCAAACGCTGGGAAAAATCCCTTTGTTATGGGTTACTTATGCCTCTCAACTGTAACATTTATTACTTTCCACAGATGAAAAAAGATAAAGCTCAATATATATACTCACTCCCATACTTGAATATCACTTCAAAATTCGAAAGCACCAATTTCTAACAGAAATAATCTAAAATCCCCATCTTCAAATTCTGATCATTTTGACAGCCCCGCCCCACAACAAATTTGCAAATAAATAAAAAATATTCATATTTGAATTTCCATGTAGTTTCAATAATTAACTGACTGACCTGTCAGAACCAAATTGCACTATACAAGAAGCACCCGTGTCCTTCCTACAATACTTGCAGCCCTTAGCAATTCGACACGGTAGGTTGATTAAATCTGCTAACACCTGTGATTAAAGTTTTTGTAGGATATTCACATGTAAGATGTAACCAAACTTCAGCATTATGCTAAAAAAAGGAAGATAACTATGACATGAAGATCATAAAATATTAAAATAAGAAACTAAAAGATAATTGGTAATCATCACGAAGATACTTTTTTTTATTTTTGCAATAGCTAATTTCAGCGATATTGAATTAAAAAATGCTGTGGCCAGAAAATGAGTAAAAAAATAATGAAACAAATAACGAACATTACTTTAAACAGCAATGCTCGATGGACACAAAGGCCAACAGGTAAGCTTCCAATTGGAAGAATGATAGACTGTAGACAGCTTTTAAGAATTTCAGAGCATTCCTTCCAGCGTGTACCTAAATTTTCTTCGTCGGAAGATCCTCCTCTATTGACAAGAACTAAAGCTTGTTAAAAAGATGTTACTTATTCATTTAAGAAAAAATTGAAGGCAAGTGAATTTACCCCATCCTATTATAAACAAGATTTGCAAGCTGATCAGTTGCATCTTTAATTGTAATCCAGTTACTCGAAAGACTTAATACCCCAGTTTGAAGTTCTCTCAAGGCAGGGTCTCTAGATTTATCCATAGAAACCACTACAATTGACGAATTATCACATGGTTTAACAGACATGAGTGATTCAATTGACGGAATCACACCAACATTCTGCATATCGGTGCTTATAGTCCATGTATATGCATCCATCCCATGGATTAGGTAAAAGCCATCTAGAATTTTGTCAGAATATTGCAAACAACCATTTACCTGGTCAAATCAATGAAGACCTAATAAAATTAAACATGCAATTAAAAAGTACTACAAGAATGATTAGAAAGTAATTTTAAAACGAGTGAGACAAATACCCAAAAACGGTGTGAAAGTGATTGGGGAGAATCGGAAGGAGAAGAGGTGGTTTCAGACTCCAACAAGCAATTGGATTGAGAGGGAGAAGATGAGTGAGATGAAATGCGAAGCGCAAGTGCGAGCTGTAGCTGATAACTTTCTTGTGTTTGCTTTGCCCAGCTCTTGAAGGAACCTTCTTCGTCTTCTTCGTCTTCATCGTTGTACATCCTGGTGCTCTCAGATTCGGATTCACGGTCACCATCGCCGTACATTTTTTTTGTTAATTTTCTATTGACCTGAGTCTTCACAAAGTTCTAGGCATAACTAACTTTCCTCTTTCGACTTCTCCCTTCTTTCTCTTTACTCCTCGTCTATTTTTTCCACTTTTGCCAAATTTACATGTAGCTTTTTTTTCTTTATCTTTCTGGTGGCATTTATGGTGGTGGCCATATGATCTAACTTTTTCTATGGTTGCCAAATGGTCAAAATCTATCCTTCAAATATAAGTATAATATTGAATGGACAGGATCTTTTAGAGGCAATCAGTTAGTAATCAGTATAATATATATCTAAATGCTTCCAATATTGTCATTTAACTTTAAAATTATTACACTCTTTATTCCACTCCATTTGCAATAAAATAAAATCTTAAATTGAATGAGACATTTTTTTAATTTTATCCTCTAATTAATATAGATTTAATTAATGTGTAATTCGTGTAAAAATATTTTATACGGTCATTCAATAAAAATATATTATTCTGCCATATTATATAATTAGTTTAAAAATTTTAGTATGACTTAGCAGGATGTATGATTGTCATTGATTGACAATGTAAAAAAAATTTACACTATCACTATCGGTGCATAATCATTTTTTCTAATAAATATTACTTTTATCATTCTTAATACATAATAAGAATATTTTAATAAAAGTATTATTCTCTATCTTTTATTTATTTTATTTTTTAAAATTATGTGAAATAATCAACTAAGTCACTTATTATAAAACAAACGAAATTAGCAAAAGATTAAAAAGATAAATAGAAAATCTTTCAAATTAATTAATTATTTTTCGATCAATTCTTACTTTGATATGTGTCAAATTCTTACTAACGTTTTTTAACTTTCACTTTTTTTTCTATATTCTCACTCTTTCATCCATCTTTTAAAATTTGTAATTCAAATTATTTATTATTATTATTATTATTATTATTATTATTATTATTATTATTATTATTATTATTATTATTATTATTATTGTTGTTGTTGTTGTTATCCCTTATATCGATTCCTCAAATCTACTACCTCCATTTTAAAATAATTGTTGTTTAAGTTTTTTTCATACGAATTAAAAAATATAATGATGTTGTTACAAGACATCACACTTATTAATATATTGAAAGTTGTGCACATAATAATTAAAGGACATAATTGAAAAAACAATAGTCATTTTATACATTGAAAATGAGAATAATATTTATTTTAAAATAAAATTTATTTATTAAAACGACTATCATTTTGAAACGGAGAAAGTATCACATTTATCTCTCCTCACATTTAACTTTTTTATTTTTCTCTTTATCTCTAATTCACTTACTTCTTCGTTTGTCACATTATTCGCTTTTCATTATTTTAGACAATTATATTCAAATTTTAAACATTTTCTAATTTTTCGCACTTTTGAAATTCAAATCTTCTCTAATTTTTTCCCACTTTCAAATTATCATTTGAGTTTTTTAATAAAATTTTATTATAAAGACTATTTTTAATTATAAATGGCTAAGTTTACGATAATATAAATGTGTGTTTGAATTTACTTTATTTTTAGTTTATACGACATATTTAATCAATTATATTTATTCATTATCACTAAAAATACTAATTAATCTAATTTTTTATTTTAATAAAATTAAAATTTTATTTTGTTAGAGAACTAATTTTTCATCTCACGGGTGACTATCATCTCAATACCTTATTTTCAAAAGTGAAATTTGTTTTTTCTTTCTCCATCTCATGGATTTTTTTAATGATTATTTAATACAATTAATTTTATATGATCATTATTCATTTTATAATTAAATAACTAATTTCAAATTTTTATGTGAATCTAAATATATTTTTGATTGGCAAAATACCCTTTTTCGTCCCTTAACTTTAGCTCGGGGTCCATGTTGGTCCTTTATCTTTAAAAAGTGGTAAGTTGGTCCTTTAATTTTTAAATTAGTGTCATTTTAATCCGCACCGTCAGTTGCTCCCAAACGTCCGTTTATTTTGTATAAGTGGCAGATGACCTGGCAATTGTGCTCATGATGTTGCTTTCTTCTCCTTCCTCCTTCCGCTGAAATCCCTAAAATAATCCCAAATCCCAAATCCTTAAATTAATCTAGGGTTTTTTTTATTTGGCAAACATGAAATTTGGATGTTCCTCCTCCATTTCGAAATCGAAAAGTCGGGATTCGGATGTTTGTAGTCGGTCACGATGGAAGTCCATGTGCCATTGTGGAGACATGGTTGTTCTTCAAAGGGAAACTACTGTTAAGAATATGGGAAAACTTTTTTGGGGTTGTCCAAATTATAAGGTATGCAAGCTGGTTTTGTTCTCTGTTGAAGTTTTGTTTTTGTTTAAGTTATGTTTCTGTTTCTGTTTCTGTCCAAATTATTTTTCTAGAAATTGCCATGAAACAAAATCATCTTATGCACCGCAGAAAATTGGCAAAAGATAATGTTGTTAAAAACTACTTGTAAAATCTCCCTCTTTTGCCCTGCATCTTCAGAATTTTACATATTTTTACTTGATCTTACTTTTCAATGGCTGGAAAATAATTGCTAGGATTTTTCTTAATTCCATTTAAGTGCAATAGTGCATCATAGTTATAACTTCTTTAATATACTGTGCAGCTAAACACACTGAGATATGGAGGATAGCAACTTCCATGGAGGACTATAAATCTGAAATTGAAAACTGGGAGTTAGGAGCTGGAATTTATATTTCATTTTATTTAATGAGAAACTCACTTCAGGGAGATACAAATGCCATGACTGAATTGGTATGGACAATGCTTTGGCACTACTTTCAGTGCTCCCATTCCTGAAGACCTACGCTCCGGTCACTTGCAGGATGCAGTGTATCTGTTCACCCGCTTTTTGACAGAGATTGTAACTTAATTCTACTATCTGCCATTAGCTGTTAGATTCTTAAGTAGAGTCAGAATAGAAGTTCAATTTGTGTTTGCAAGGCAGGATCTGATCTGCATAGATGATCAATGAAATTTGTATGGTTTTTTATATTGGTCTTGCTTGTTATGAATAATATGCCACTAAATGTAATTGTAGTAACATGTTCATTAATTTTGCATGTGTATCAACTGAATTAAAAACACAATTTGTCAAGGAACATTTTTGCCAGTGTCGGTGGCGTTGGCATTTCATTACTTATATTACAAATACCAAAGTTTCATTACTTATATTACAAATACCAAAGTTGGATTGATAATTTGATATCTAAAAGGTGAAGTTCCTGTGTTGTTATGAGTTCATATCTTATTCTACACAAATTTGACATTGTATGTAATCTTTTACAAAAGAAATTAGACACGAGTAATGTTAGGACTGCACATTTTAAGGTTCTCTTCTTAAGATAAAACTCATGTAAGCTCCACCATTTTAAAAATGGATTCAACATAAAATTAGTGTTTCTAGCACTACTCATTTATATATGGGACAATTTCATTGAATTCTCATTCACACCTTATTCTAAACATAAATTTCTTAAATATGCTACCATTCTGCAGGATACATAAACTTGTAATACATTCCAAAAAAAAATAGACTTGTTCCAAATCAACAATAGAATACATAAACTTGTTCATGACAATTAGGTTAAGCTTTTAACACAACTGATACACAAGTTCCACAACAATAGCAAAATACATAAACATTGTAATACATTCCACAACTAGAGTTTTCTAGGTAACTAAATACACATGTTCCCATCATACTGATCGTCTCTTTTGAGAATTTTTACTGCTACATCCCTCCCATCATTCAGAACACCTTTGTAAATAAGTCCAAAGCCACCTTCTCCTAATATTCTAGAAGAGTCAAAGTTATTTGTTGCTATCTCCAAGTCATTCAAGGCAAAATTCTTGGCAGATCTTGTAAATGCTATCGTTCCCGAACCGAAGGAACGTGATCCAGATCCTGACACGATCCCATGATTTAATGGCCCGGCAGCCCCTGCCACATTCAAACCAAATTCTATAAATTCCATTTTTATGATGCTTAAAGAAAACAAGATCTTTATTTTGTATTAATCTAAACTATGAATAAAGCTTTTGCCGAGTCAGTAATTGGACTTACTTAAATGTTTTGAAGAGGATGACATTAAGCTATCTGTAGCTTTTTCATGTTGATGAATACAAGAACTATATTTCAACAGACAAAGGAATAGTACAAAAACAGTAACCGATGACAACACAATTATAAAAACCATTCTTCCATTGCTCCCTTCTTTCTTTTTCTTTGGTATAGCTACTCCTAAAGGTTTCATAATCATTCCATTATTGTCACGACCTTGATTCGGTCCATCATATACATTAGAAACACCCAAGGAAATTGAAGGTGGAGATGGTGGAAGACCTGCATGCATGCATTATCCAAAAGTATGAATCTAGAGAGATACCAACTAATGAAACCAAGCTACTATATAAGTTCACTTTATAACATAAATAACACTTTTAGCTAATACAGATACAGGATTAAGTTTAAAATACCTTTATTAGGAGGTGGATGGGGAAGAACTAATGCATATGCTGGCGGCGGAGTCTTCATCTTGTTCAATGATGAACCTATAGGTGAAATTTTAGGTGGAAGAGACGGAACTGATGATTGATGCACAAATGATTAACAAATAGTCAGGTGATATGTATAAGAAAAGGTAAATGAAATGAAAGAATAAAATTTAAAACAGTGATATAAATAAAAAAGGATCTATACCATCTAGATGGCCTGACCGAAATGCTGATGATAGTGCAGGCGCAGGCACAAGTGCATGAATAAACTTGCTCTTTGGTGAAGAGAAAGGAGGTTGTGGTTTGAGGAATGAAGGGCCTATTTATTCAAGACAATTTTTGAGAATAAATGAAATTATTGAGATTTCAGTGTAAAAGCTGTGGAATAACTTCATTTAAGCATTTTCGGTCAGAGAATCAAACCTTGATTGCTGTAAGTATGCTAAGCTAAAACATTCTGAGCAAGATAGAAACCAAATT